GCTGACATGTTTGTAGTAGTGGTAATAAATGTCATAATAATACAGATAAGTAAAATCAATGTTGTTTGATTGTGTATAACTTTGTAATTTACTGAAACAGTTGGGATTTAAGCAGAAATACGCAACAGATAAATATTAAAAATACCTTTAAACATGTAAATAAATCAATATCAGATGGGCGCTTACTCATTTCCTATCCTGTACGATACAAATTTTAGAAATTAAGCAAAATACCGAAGGTTTGTCACCCATGCTATTTCAAGATCCAAATAACTACAAAGGTTACAATGGTACCAGAGCGGCAGCGTAGCTCCGCCGTGGAGCGCTTAAATCGAATACACTCGTTTCAAAAACGGAAGCCTCTTTAAAACTGGTTATTTTTAAATGTAACTTACATATTAATAATCTCAATATTTTTTAAATTATACTTTTTCTTGAAAGTTCAAAATTATCGAAGATGAAAGAATTTCATCATACTCGTGTGTTATAAAGCCTATGGATAGATTCAAAAGTTGACATCAAGTAGTCAGCTTATTAATTCCTATCAAAAGCTTAAAAAGCTTTAAGTAGTTTATTCTTCTAGTGCTGAAACTAAGAACAAGAACTGATTTAGGTATTTCTTTAATTTGGAGGACTTGTTTTAATAATTAAATTTAATTACTAGATGGGATAGTTATTAATGTTTTAATTTTCTTATGATTCTCCAAATACTTGGTTATATCGTATATTCTACTATATAAAAAGAAAGAGACGTCAAGTAGGAAGAAAAATAAAGCTCCTTAGAGCTTACAAATACACATTATAATAACAAATAAAGATAAACGACTAAGAAAAACAAAGAGGTACTCTCAATACAGGAGCTGTCAGAGTCAGGTAGAACGAAATTAAAAAAGTAGTCCGACAATGACCAGATCACGTCATAAACAAAGGATTATAATACTTATTTCATTTACTTAGATGTTAATTTTGTTTGAATGCAACAATATTTACAACTGTATACATATCGTTGCTATACTGTTGGTTTAGTTTACACAGCACTAAGCAAATATTTATAAAAGCACAGAACCAAATAGTGTCGTAGTCTAACGTTTTATATCGGATTATCTTGTACAAGTTAATGTACTGAAAATTAAAGTATTATATATTAGTTACTTAAATATCTCGCAAAGCTACACAAAGACTTTACAAAATTTGCTTTTATTTGTAGTTAACTAATAAAGCGTAAAAGCTATTGTTAAGCTTAAAAGCTACAATTTAATTTATAACTTAAAAATATTATAAATGTACACTAAATTATATGTTGAGAAGATTAAATACATACGCAGTTCCAAGGAGACAGATCATCATCATCAGCTCACTCTACGTCCCCACCGAGGGGCTCGGAGCCTACCCTAAGTTAGAGGGATTAGGCCATAGTCAACCACGCTGGCCAAGTGCGGGTTGGTTGACTTCACACATATCTTTGAATTTCTTCACAGATATGTGCAGGTTGCATCACGATGTGTTCCTTCACCGTTGGAGACAGATAGTAGATACAAATACGAAAAAAGTAAAAAATAAGAGAAATAAAAGAAAATAATCGCAGTAAATCAAATTGTTGTACATTTAAAAAACAAGAAGCTAATTATGTTACACTACAACGAGATATTTTTCCGCGGCGTCATTTATTTTAAAAACCTAAAAAATAAAGTAACAAAGGCATTTATTGGTATGGCGATTAATCATAGGCTCTTGATCCTATCTCTGTAAGATATGTGTTTGGGACCTCTTAAATTATTACTTTTTAATTGGTATGTTACTTTAGAGATAGTTACGCTTTGAGAGCTGCGTCGAAAATGAAGATAAGAATATTTGATTAAGGCGGAACGAATCTTTGATAGAGGAAATGTTTTTATTGACATTGAGCGGTGATAAATAGACTATGTTCTTCTATCTATAGTTTTAAGTACACTACGGATCGTTTATTTATGTTTTTGGATTAAAAAGGTAGCTAAAAAGAATAGAATATCTAACTAGATTTAGACTTCTTAGATTAAAACCGGTTTTTTTAATCTAACTTCTTACTAATATTATAAATGTGAATATTTAGATGGATGGATGGATAGATGTTTGTTTGAAGGTATCTCCAGAACATAGAAAATAGTCTGGAAGAACTCATAGGCTACTAAGTATGTTTTTCTTTTTAATTTCGCGTGGACGGTGTCTACGGCGACTACTAGTATTTAAATAGTTTTTGAAACTCCGATGCAATACTGAATATATATTTGATATTTGAAAATTAACATGTCCAGGTTCATAGTCGCTATATTATATTAGTCATTGTTTTAAATGTATTTTTTCTTCAATGTATCAAAAAACATGATAAAAAAAGTCACCATTATTGTATAGGTAGATGAAGCGTGAATATGTAACTAATTAAAAATTTCAAAGAAATATGATCAATAAAATATTTAAACAAGATGAGTTAAGTACAGGATATAAGAAACGTGAGAATGATATAAATTCAACGTGCCCCGCGTACCCTGCACCTCGCAGTCCCCCCGCGCCCGTACAATAATTGAGACATCAATTTTTTCAAGCCTCGCCTACACATTAGGGTAACCATCATTACATACGAGATTATTGTTAATATTATTTCATTTATTTCGAATGCCGTGACAATAGTATAGACACATAATATTGTTGTCTCTATTTTTTCAAACAGAATGAAAGAAAGCACAATATACTATGTGTCAATGGGACAGTGAAACATCTGGAAGATTCACTTTTTCGTCTCTTATTTTGTCTCACAATTGTCAGATACTCATTTAGCCTTAGGTTTTAGCCACACAGAAGTCAGGCGTGTAGTGGAAGTAATTCCGCAATGACAGAGGCATAATTTTCATCCTCCTCCCCATCCCACCCTTTTCTTATCAGGAAAGGATTGCGCTAACACTATAGCGTCCGCTACGTGTAAATATTTAAATTCATTTAATACATTTTACATGTCCGTTAATTATTTTCCAATATTATGGTTGCTCTACGTTCTCTCTTTCTTCAATATTTATAACGTGAGCGGTACGTAATTTAAGTTTACTTCTCGTTATCTCCGAGGTTTCATCTCTTTCTGTTTTTCTCGAATAGATAATATTAACGTGGATGCCGACATGTTCTATTAAACAGAAAGGGAGTGATACTGTTTTGTTTTACTCAGTTTTTTTTCTTTAAAAATGCGTAATACGTTTACCGGGTACTGAATTAAGGGAACTCTTATCAAGCCGAAACACAAGTCACATATTGTCGTCTCCCTTATTCTTTTCAAAAAAACAGAGATAGCAATCTCTCACAGACACGATTTTATGCTTTAGATCAACCGCTATCGCTGGTGCTATGTATTGTCGCCTTTACGGTCGCTACATAGCTGCATGGCCACAGTCCGAATATGCGGACATTGTATGACCACTTTAATCATATGTTTCACAAATATTACTTTTGTCTTATTAAATAAAATAATTGCGAAGAATTAAAAGGCTAGAATATCATTGCCTGCAATTAATGCCAATTCAATCTGCGATAGTATTTGGTATACTATATATAAGTATATATGTATATCATAATTGGTAGGTACAGTCAGCAAAACTGGCGGTATTCCATCTTAAAAGCAAAGACATTTGAACGTTACGTATGCATTGAGACGGGCAAATAATAACCATAAAAGGGCCGGTGCCATAGGTACACGACTAATTGTAATTGCAACTCATTGCTTCATAATTGGTTATTTATAAAAAGGGATGTATAGTAAGTGGAACACTGCAGATTTCCACGACTGTACGTACACCATACGAAAAGTGTTCCGAGACAGGTTTTTTTTCCTTTCCAAATCTTTTCAAACATACGTCATGCTGTGAATCGTAATAATTACTTTCAATGGATGAGTTCTATAAAATTCTTTACAAAAGTCATAACGCTCACAATTGAGACATCACTCAGACTTTGGGACTGGGACGTATCTTTGTTCCGTTTCCATGGGTATTGTGTGAACACGCGCTGCTCTTTTAGAAACGTGAACCATTCAAAATAAATGCCAGTATTGTACAGATAATGATTCGAAAAATTATGGCTACTGTTGTAAAATTTTAAAGTTAACAAATAGAAAAATACTCCAAACAGCTGACGGTTCTTTAAATGTGTACTAACTTGTACGTCTTTAGATTCATCTATAAATGTAATAATATATCTATGAACGTTATCTTACCATTTTACTAATTTTAATTTAACTAATATTCATCATCATTATCGACCTGCCCTAGTCCCTACGGAGGGTAGGCAAAATATGTACTACGCCTTCACGCATCTCTATCAGCTGTCATACCTAAATTCGCTTTGTTCTTACGCATATCCTCTTTCACACTATCCATCCACGTTAATTTAAACTACTTTAAAACACCCATTTATAATTCTGTACAAAATAATGACAAGATGTCACAGGTGAAAGATAGTAATTTTGTAATCTTAAAGAATAACATCAACGTTGTCACCTCTGATATACCTACACTAGCAGATTATAGGTTATTTTTATCTATAATTTTACCGAAAACTACAAATCAAAGGTAATGTTATGCATTTGTTTAGTATTTGCCTTCCATTTGTTAGATTTTTGTCGTTGACGGCGGTTGATTAGGGGCTACAACTGTGTGAATTTTATGTTATATTAAAACCTAGATTATATTGAATTGGTCATTTGACAATAAATTTGTATATTGTAATAGAACGTACTGCCATGTACACAAAAATTAAACATTAGGAAAACACGATGAAAAGTGACGACTATGCCTTGGAAGAGACTTTTTATAAGACACTATTTACAAAACACATTGATTTGACTTCTTCGTTAATGAAATAATTTCCTGAAGCATTTTTTATCTTGCATTTCTAAATGATTGTGGCTAACTTGAACGCACCGTTGACAACATGACAACAATGAACACAGGAACATATGGAATGACATGTCAAGAATTTGACAGGTCTTGTATTAATTCATGTGTTGATTAAAACAGTGGCATAATATATTTATTTTTCTCATATAATTGGTTTAACAGATCCTCCTGTATTATATCATCACAAGTTAAGCAGAAGAATTCATTTTGAATGTCTTATGTAATTGTGTTGTGAAAGTGTATTTGACATTTAGGTACTATTTTGATTGTTGATAACTTTTACTTTTGTAGGTAATTTCATGATCATCTGCATAGCTGTTCCCTTCATTGCAATTTGCACAGTATTTGTTATTGCGCGTTAATGAATTCTGTTCCAGCCAGTGCTCAAATGCGCCATGATTTCCTAATCTAGGGTCAATGCCAAATTTAGTTCGATTTAGACATATCAATCTTCGAAAACTAATAATTTTGAACTAAAAGATAAACTTTGACGTTTAACATCGAACTAAGATAAGTTTTAAAGTCATTAACTTTCATAATACTTTTTTTCTAGGTCTTCTGTAAAATGTGGATATCTTAACAATAAAAAGAGTAAATCTTTAACAAGTTTTGCATAACTGTGCAATTCGCACAGAAATGAGTAACGGTGGTCGGCCTAACGCAATGAATAATTTTCCACCTGGCGTTAATCCTGAAAATAATATTTTGCCTGGAGGTCCATTGGTAAATCAAATGATGAATCGTAATAACCGAAACAACAATCAAAACCCGCTTTTCAATGTCAGAGAGAGGCTATTCCATGCCCTGTTCTTCAAATTTGCAGTTGCATATGCTAGAACATTTCCAAGGCCTGTGAGAAGATTTTTTGAATTCCTTGTGCTATTAAAAGCTCTTGTTGCATTTTTTGTTCTTGCATATATCCATATAGCATTCTCAAGAACACCAACTACTTGCTTGAATCATGTGAAGGATTCATGGCCACGACATGGCATCCTTCGTGTGGAAATACTGAAAAATCCAGCTCATGATTATACTATTGAACAAAGTTATGCAAAAGAGAGAAAACTGAAAAGGGATAAAGAGGAATTCAATTCTATGCTTGGAATTTTAGCTACCGAAGGGTGAGTAGATTTTGTAATTAATTTGACAATTTTATTAACATATAGTTGAACATATTCAGGGCCACCAACTTGCCTGGTAAGTTGTGGCATTGATTAAGTAGCATAAAAGTATAATGGTCCAAAATATTATCATTGGTCGGAAAGTTATAATCATTTATAGATTTAATATTTGTACTTGTAAATTAAACATTGACTTAATGTTTAAGTTACAGAAAATCCGAAAATGTGCCAGTGTACTGACGCAACACTAGCATTACTAAAATGTTGATGTTTATGTGCCCTCACTATTCATTCTAACACTGGACATTGCAATGAAAGCATGTCATTCGCGCCAAGTGATTCTAACTAATACTGTCTAAAAGTGGTATAGCATACAATTTCTGTATTGTCCCCTATTCCTATAAACAAATTGACCTATCTTAGGAATAGATTTATGACTTCTCCAAATAGACTATATTATTACTCTTTTTGTTATATGGATTGAAATGTGACAGATATTAATGTTTTTAATTCTCACCCTTTTTTTATCCTTAAAAATGTTACTGATGTACAATACACATGCATTTTAACTCAGCATAAAAAAATATTATGCTGACTCATATTGATATTTATTTTATTACATATGTCATGATTATATAAAAATTATTGATAGTACATATGTGGATGATAATTCATATAATTATGACAAAATTCTTTCTTATAAGTTTCCCAAGTCTTGCAGCATTGACTGATATAAGATATACTAGCTGTCGCCCGCGACTCTGTCTTTGAAAAAAAAACTTAATTAGTAGTCTATCTGTTCTACCAGATTATGTTCTACATCCATGCCATATTTTAGCAAGATCTGTTGAGCCGTTCATAGTTACCTACAAAAACATCCATCTATCTATGCATTCACATTTATAATAATAGTAAGATAGGTTTAATAGTAATTGATTGACTTTATCTCAGCATAATGTGTTTATAATTAAATTTATCAGTTTATGAAAAAAATCACTGCTATATGTTTTTTTTTATATTATATGTATTTATTGTGAGATGTGACCTTGATTATTTTATATGTGTTAAGTATATGCTGAAAAAAATGTCTAAAAAACAATTAAATGTAATAATAATTAAAAAAACCAAGGTCATTGATCACAAATCATTTATAGATGTTAAACAGACAAACAAATCTTTAACAATATCAGTATTTCCATTTTTTTGCACTTAATAATTTTAATAACGGAAAAGGTCTTAATACCGGAGTTTAAGAATCTAACAATTTGATACCATGTTTACAGATTCATCAATATAGAATCGTCATCCAATGAAGATATAAAGGAAGATGGATATCTGCGCGATGGAACTGATTATGGAAATATAACCCGAGTCCTAGATGAGAATGTAGATGAAGTACCACCAGATCAAGTTATGGAGACTGCATATTTTGTTGAAAGCAAGGATACATTGCCTGATAATCCAGAGCCGGATCTTAATACGACTATAGTACCCATAGATATGGAACCTACAACATCAATATGGCAAGGAATTATGGGACTTGTAGATGAGTTGGATGGAGATTCAAAAATAACTGAAGTATGTATACTGTAAATGTAATATTGCATGCACTTCTCGTGTGTTTTAACACATTGTTGATATGACATTTCATTTTAATAGATGGCGCTAAAAGTAATAATATTCTCCAATGTTCCTTTTCCAGGAATCTCTTGATGCGGCAGCTGCAAATGATACTTCAAGAGGTAAGACATTATTGTTTTTAATAAATATTTGCGAGAAAAATGTATGATAAAAAAGATCTGCCATAATCCAGATGCATAGTTAGCGATAATGAATTTAAAAATTGAATTACTAACATATTTTATTGGCAAAATAATGAACCTTAAGCGTCCAAGGCTTATATTGTATTTCAATGTACATTCATCATACAAAGTATACAACTAAAGGGCGCCCTTAGTCACAAACGACTCTAACTGTGGGTTTATGAGATCAAAATCCTCGCTTAAAACATATTATTATGTCTGTTTTGTCAAAGATAGTGATGGACAACAATATGTTTTAAACTTATATTTTGGTCTCAGAAACCAATGGTAACTGAGTAATAACATAATTTAAATATATATTTTTTAATTTCAGATGAAGATTACATACTCGAGTATTCATTAGAATATGGTTTTCTAAGACTTACTCCGAGTGCTCGTTTGCACTTCAAGATTCCTGTAAAAATAGTAACATTGGATCCTCAGAAAGACGTCTGTTTCGGTGATTCCTTCTCTCGCTTCGTCCTTGACGAGTTCCTAGGATATGATGACCTTCTTATGGCCTCCATAAAGACATTGGCCGAGCAAGAGGATAACAAAGGTTATTTAAGGTAAGCAAGCCATAGTAATACCAGATTTATTCTTACTAATATTATAAATGCGAATGTTTTTATGTATGTTTGTTAAAAGGGCTACATGGATCTCAATAAGATATGTTATGAAAGTAGAACAAAGTTTGAAAGAACACATAGGCTACTAATTAAGTTTTTTTTAATTCCTCATGGACAGAATCGCGGGCAATAGCTAGTATCAAATAAATAATTTAGTAACATTGACTCTGTATACCAAAAATTACTAAATTAATTTATTCATTAAGAGTGACCTTTTGCAATAACTTATGTTGAAAATGCTTGCACACGTAATTAGAAATACAATTTAAATGCATGTTATTACCTTGAATTTGCACTGTTGCAACTTATAAGACCATTATATTTATCTCTGTTTTTCTCAAAGACATTGAGAGGGACGGCAATCTATATCTATACATATAAATATAATTAGAAGTGTCTAAAAATAAATGTATTTCGTACAAAAGATTTATTTAAGTAGATGATACAGAAAATTTTTTATCAGTTGTCTATTTGTCTGTATGTCTGTATGCAAGACCTAGTTTGATCCGGGTAATCTCCGGAACAACTGGTCGATGTATGCGGGCATATGATAGGCTATTTTTTTAACCCTGCGTAGATATAGTGGCAGGCGACCGCGTTACAACAGTGGAGACTTACCTTAGTGTGTTTGTTGCAGGAACGTGATAACGGGGGAGCACTACCGCTTTGTCTCAATGCTGACGTCACGCACCTCATATATCGCAGCCTTCTTTATTATGCTAGTCTTTGTAAGTATTGTTATTATAAAATTTTAACTCGGCTAAGCTTTAATGTACAGTCAGGGAAACTTGCGGTGCTCCACTTATAGAAAAATTGCCTTGTTCCTTGCACCGACATAAATTCTACCCCTTCATACAAAATGGCCAACTAGGAACCAATAAGTTGCGCAAACGACGTCATAATAGTAAAAACCTATTACTCTTATACCACTGACTTATCCTTTTTCGCACAAACACATTTGAAAGCGTCCTGTTGGTTATTGTTTCTGTGTTATTGGCCGTTTTAGTCACAAAAATGTTATAATAGGTCCTTTGGAATTTTTAGTCTACATTTTAATAAAAATAAAATCATCGATAATAGATTATAGAGTAGAATGATTAAGGAAAGTAGTTAATTGATTTTAAATTGATTAAGATTACTATACAATAAATATCTTAACATCATTAAATATTGGTTATTGGCTGTACGTCAAGTGATCATTGTTGAATAGAATTGTTACAATACAATTGGTTAGACTGACAATATAATTAAGAATATTGCTTATATCATAACATACTAATATTATAAATGCGAACGATGGATAGATGGATGGATATTTGTTTAAAAGTATCTGCAGAACGGCTGAACGGATCTCGATGAAATTGGGCATACATATAGACTGTAACACATAGACTACTAATTATGTTTATTTTTAATTCCGCGCGGACGAAGTCGCAGGCGACATCTAGTAATTATATAGCTCTACAAACCTGTTCTGTGAAATATGAGTGAAGTGAAACAATTTTGAATTAGTTTTTGTAAGCACGCCATCTGTCGATAAAAGTTGTTTTTACTTTCTCTTAAAAACGGTTATATGTGAATTTGTTAGTATTGATAATAGATGGCGTTTTTCCCCCAAGTAAAAACATCTGCTAAAAGTTAATTAATCAATTATTTGTTTAAATAAAAAAATCGTGTTTTTACGCTGTATATACATCATTTTTTTTGTATTTGTCAAACTAGATTGAGAGTTATTTCTGTTTCAAATTTCATTCAGATCCGATCAACTGTTCTGGAGTTGCGTGATAACATTCATACATTAATAAAAACTTTTGGATGTTTACATACAGTGCAACCTCAATATAACGAATCGGAGGGAAACAAGTAAATATTCGTTATATCGAGTAATTCGTTAAACTGAGGATAAAATTCGTTATAAAGAGGTAAAAAAAATAGTTTTATTCACCTCAACATTACGTACGCATCTTGTTATAGCGAACAACTTCTACTAATAAATGATAACTCTTTTTTATCAAATTACTGTATGTGTTTTCTATTTAAAAACAATTAGGCAAGTAACAAAATTTTTTTGAAGGTTTCTGAGCCATTTTAACTTAAATCTTTGACAATTGTGACGAGAATAAGTGTTAACATTACTTTCCATCAAACAACAATGATTGATTTACGAACAAAAGCGTGTCGAAGATTGATTTACAAACAAAAGCGTGTCGAAACATGTCGCAACATGAATCACATATTATGAGATTAAAAGTCATACATTAGTGACACTGCAACTTTATATAGAGGTTTTGGGTTGACAAAATTCGTTAAATAGAGGTATTTATACTTTTTCTCGATGGTTGAAAATTCGTTATAAAGAGGTTGTTCGCAAAAAATGTTCGCAATGTAGAGGTATATTTTATATTGACTCTTATGGACAATTCAAGGGGATTACGAAAAATTTGTTAAATCGAGGAAGTCGTTATATCGAGGTACGTTATATTGAGGTTGCACTGTGTTAATAAAATTGAAGTGTCTGTATGTTATATCGAAAAAAAAAACTTATTTCTTACCCATCATTTATTTGATTAGCCGATAAAAATGTTTCTCGCCATGTCTGTGCACAAACCCGCGTTTGTTCCGGATAATCTCAGGAACGGCTGGACCGATTTTGATGGTACTAGGACGGGAAGGTACTTGAAACACGCGGGAATATTATAGGTTACTTTTAAATTCGGCGATGTAAAAGTTGCGTGCAGTCGCTAGTTAATAATATTAATAAGATGTTACGATATATCTGGGTGTAATACGCTATTGTGTTATTGATCAATTAATAGGTAAGTTAAGGCGCGGTCCCTCCTTGCCACTAAAATCAGGACTCTTCCCGAGTTACAGTTATTGCTCTTTTACAGCCCTTTCAAAGTTTATTACGGTTCCGAATTCCACCTTTAGAGCGCACCGTCTATATCTACCTAACACGTCTTATGTTTGCTCTCCCAAAATACTTGGATAAACATCAATTCATAAAGTTCTTACACAACGTTTTTAAGTCAAATTTTACTTGCATATTATAATTTTTAAACACGACGATTCTTAAACAAGCTTTAGAACAATGTTATCCTATTTCCCTGGTCTTCTTTCGAGTTTATTGTTAGACTAGCTATCGCCCGCGACTATTCTAAGTGTTCTTCCCGACTATATTCCACAACTATGCCGAATTTCATTGTAAGCCATGGAGACGTTCTGGAGATGCCAACAAACATAGTTCCATTCATCCATCTAAACATTCGCATTTATAATATTAGTAAAGATTTACACTGAAAACAGTTATATTAATAGATAGTAAGCATATTTATTATTCGCAATTGAAAATTCAATTGTATTTACTGTTGAAGTGGTATTAATGTTATTCATAAAGTAACATTATATTCGATGCGACTGATAGATTTATACTAAACCAGATACCAGTTACGCTAATCCTATATTCCGACGTCAGGACGTAGAGAAATTGCATTAATCAATTGTCAAGCGGTGAACATATTGCCTATCATATACGGTTTCATATGAATCGCGTTGTCAAAGCACAAAGTAAATTGTGGAATTTTACAAATAGGTTTTATCGCAGTGCGCTTTGTGTTTTCGAAGAATGTACATTTCGATTCGGTTACATTTGCTTTGTTTCCGTTGTTTGTTAATTTTTTTTTTAATAAAAACATTTTTATTTATTGAATGTTTTCTCTTTATTAAAAATATGGATAAATAATGGATGGTAACGTGTAGACGAACTTGAACAAGCGAGGAATCTCTATCAGCCCATTATCTATATATATAATGATAATGGGCGATATCCATAAGCGAGAAACTCCGGTTTGAAAGAAACCTCTATAAGCGAGAGAAATATCTTTATACGGTTTTCAATATACTTTGATGTAATCACTTATAATGTTTTGATTTATTCTAAACCAGTACCTTGGGTAAAATAAAAACAAATCAATGCATCTGCGGTTCCTCTGGTATTGCTGATGTCCATGGGCGTCGTTGAACACCTCGGTGTTCCCGCTGCTCGTTTGCCCCCCTTCTGTTATATAAAAAAAAAAGTGCCGGAACGAATTAGAAGAGATGGCTTCAAGTAGGTCAAATCTCGTTAAACTAATATTCAAATGTATTGAACCAAAGTTGCTTAATACTTGGGCTAATGTGAGAACGTTTTTATATATGAAAAATAAAACAATAAGATTTGATCGATTTATATCGGTTCGAGTTAGTGAATATATTAGCCTCGATAGCTTTTAATATGAACTGAGGTTGTCGATCGCCTGCAGCCTTATTTTACGTCCACTGTAAAAACTAACAGTTTCCCGGTGGCCGAATTAAACACGGCCCATTGCTCGATGCGCGCTTCGCCACGGTTCGCTTGCTAACTCACTTTTTTCGCCCATAATCCTGACGTGCATCGACGAAAATAATTCTTCGCTTACACGCTGCAGTGAATGTTTATTACACAGGCAAGATAGTTCATCGGAAAACTTGGATAATCCGATTATAAAATTGCATAAATTTTTACATTTTTTATTTTAACTTAAACTATATGTGTTTAAAATGTTTGGTGTTTTTTGAACATATGTCGGTTCCATTCAGATAGTCTGTAACCCAAACAGCTAGGCTACAATTCTTCTTTTGAATGTCATTGGGTTAAGATTCTTCGAAGATCGAGGTTTCTTGGTTATTTAAAATGCAAAAATCTGGATGGTATTTTTTTTAAATTTTGTTTTTCGGAAATTATATTTAAGTACGAATTAGTAATAAAATGATGAAATATGAATAATATTTTTCGATCTTACCGATAGAAAAAGTCAAGTTTATGTTTAAGTTGATTATCGATAAAACACGAATAAAATGACATTTTCTTAAAATGTATCCTAGCTAGATCGATTTATCGCCCCCGAAACCCCCTATATACAAAATTTTATGAAAATCGTTGGAGCCGATTCAGAGTTTATATATATATACAAGAATTGCTCATTTAAAGATATAAGATATGAGTACTTAAATTTAAGTAAATATTTATGATCTTACAAATTAGTTTAATATCTTAATACCTATTTTCTTTCGATCAATAGTTTTAATATTGACTGCATATCAAAGTACGAGTGGCATGTGCAAAAAGGTGGGGTGTTTCCTTCCTCACGAAGGCCGCTATCAATCTTTTCGCCACATCATTTGCTCCCTCCAACGCCTCGCTGCGATTGAATTTCATTAATGAAACGCTTAGTGCAGATTGAATCCATTTAAGTAACTACGATGTGTGTCGCTAAATGTTGCCTTGTCTACTATATGTTATTTGGACCATTCGTAAAATTTATTTATTGTTTTCCTTATTAAAAGTTGTGTTATTATAAAGTCGTTGTTTTTTTGCAGACGGTGTCGATTTCAATGCTGCTGCGGTACGCCCACCACCAGATCTTCGTCTTTATTGGTAAGTTTCTTTTTAGAATGTTTTATTTACATTTAAGTTTACTTAGTTCTATATATGATGTCATATTTCGTTCTCACTGAGGGGCATGGAGCCTGCCCTAAGTGACTAAGTGACTAGGTAATGACTAGGTAATTGCACCGCCCGGCGTAGGCGTGCCTAAATGCATTTCCTGACTATAAAAAAAAAAAAAAACCCTAGTCAAATATACCTTATCATAGTCAACCAAACAACTTATTGTTATCTGTGTTTTGCCAATAATGAAAGGGATGACCGTAGTTTAATTAATAAAAGCATAAATTTAATTATTAACTAATTCTCTGTTTATTACAATGTTTATTGAAAAATGTAATTTTTCGCAGTTATAAAATGATTTATTTTGTAAATATGGGTTGTTGAAATGAATTTCTGTGAAAAACTCTCCAGTTCTGAGCCGGCTCAGCGGCAATCTCTTTGTAATAACAATAATTGCGAATAGCGCCCGTAGCTATCCCCCCCCACAACACCCCCACCCTCTGTTTGTTGCTAAAAAATGAATAAAAAAAATACAAAACGCAGGTCGGATTTGCCTAGCGCGGCCTCCCTGATCCGTAGACAATTAGCCAGATAAAGATAATTTGTTTCCTTCCCTATTTGCACCGTGTCCGCTACTTACAATTTCAATAAGTACTTTCAATTTTATAATCTGTGTTTTTCTTTAAAAAAAATCTTTGTTCTTTTAACCTTATTGTATTTCTTTTACTTCTATATTCACAATTCTAAAGTTTATTAATACACTAGCTGTTGCCCGCGACTCCGTCCGCGCGGTATTAAAAAAATATAATTAGTAGCTTACGTATTCTTCCACACTGTATGTATGTCAAATTTTATCGAGATTCGTTCAGCCGTCTAAACATTCGCATTAATAATATTAGTAAGTTAGTAAGATTACTCAGAAGTAAGATATTAGAAAGATTATATTAGTAAGATTTGAAGTAGATTATGTTGTATATAAACCTTGTAAAAATATACGGTGATATCACTTCAAAGTATCTGATATTCGATTTTGCAGAATGAACTATTCAAACTCACAATATCGGATGAGAGAAAATCTGTTCAATGGGATCCATTCGGTCTCTATGACAACACATCCCCTTCCCGGAAATATTGAAAAATGTTTTAACAAACAGAGTTTCTCGCTTGCTCTAATTTTTACTTTGTTCCTTGTGATTTATTAATTCAATTATTTTTTACATGATAAGTATAATATTTAAATTTTACTATTATAAATGAGAACGTTTAGGATGGATAGACGAATGTTTGAAGGTATCAGGAAATATGGCATAGTTGTAGAACATAGCCTGGAAGAACACAAAGACTATTTATTAAGTTTTTTTTTCTTTCCGCGTGGACATAGGCGGGAGACAGATAGTTATAGAATAACGATTAAAATAACCAGTAAATTAAATAGGTTTGATACTACTAGAATAAATAGTTTTTTTAATTGGTTAGTACATATATTCCACAATGTGTTTCACATCGTAGAAACACACCTTAATATTTTGTATATTCATACGCTTTTATTTCTTATTACCTGTGATCCGATAAACTCTAGGACGGGAGTTTACAAAGCTTTATATGTGTCCTCTTTGAGCCAGCTGTGTACAGACCTAAGACCGTTTATCGGATTACCAAATGTCGCGATATCGTATTGAACTTCGATATAGGGCGCTTATGTATCAGACCAAGCTTTAATCTCATTTGTGTATGATTTTGTAGTAGATATTATCCTTTATATTAATATATGTTCGCATTTATTTTGTATTTTCTGTGCAACCATGGTCCATAGAGTTTCGGTGGTCGGTTAAGCACTTGTAATCTGCAGGTTCGAATTCCACTATGTATCTATGTGTTTTTCGATTAACATATGTATATTTATCCAACGTTCTTACGGTGAAGGCATCGTGATGAAATCTGCACATATCGGCGAAGAAATTCAAAGATATGTGTTAACTCCACCCGCACTGGGCCAGCGTGGTTCAGTATGGCCTAGTCAGCCCTTATTTAGACCTTGCTCCGAGCACATCACGGCGCGTATGTACGACGTGTAGTGAGCTGATGACGACAGTCTATAAAAGATCTAATAGAACACATTTATCAGAAATTTCATTATATTTAGACATAACCAAAGTATAAAAATAGTTATTACTTTTGTTTTATTATTGTTGAGGTTGATATTAGGGATTGCTTTATTATAATAAAAGCTTCAATTGAACGACTGTATTTCCACATCGATGGCTGCGTGTGCGTACAAAAGGACCGCAACGGGCTCATGACAAACGAATCGCTGACCTCGAAGTGATTTATATGCGTCATTACTGACAATATATATTTAATTAAACATTTAATTAACAGCGAACTCTACAAAAATAATACAGTCAGATTAGTGTGCTTATTAAAATAAAATCCTAATCTTACTAATATTATAAATGCGAATGTTTGGATAGTTGGATGGATGTTTGTTTGAAGGTATCTCCGAAACAGATTAACGGATCTCAATAAAATTTGGCATACATGTAGAACATAGTCTGGAAGAACACATGGGCTACCAACTAAGATTTTTTTAATACCACGGGGATGGGACAGCTACTTATTTATATATTCGACAACATAAGCATATGTATAAAAAGCATCAAAAAAATTGTTTAACGTTTATTACTTAATTTGAAATATTGTCGGCATTTCCGAAGCATTAAACACGCCTTACTTATTGGTTCCTGAGTAAAGATTCTAAAATATACCTCATCACTTGAGTAATAAAATATCAGAGTTAAATATCCGAAGGGATAATGAAGTGTTCGACAAAGGGGTTTCAAGGTATTTTTTATACGAATCCTCGAAAAGAATTTATTGCAAATGTTTTTCATTCTTAAAATCTTAAACATTTTCTGCCATTTTTTTATGTCGCTAATGGACGACAAGAAAAACATTCCTAATTAGCTAACGGCTTGTTCTAACGATGTTTTTAATCTGATCATTTCTTAAGTAAACAAATCTTGAAAGGTTTTTAATTAGTGAAATCATTAGTTTATAAGTCCTGGAGCATTTTTGCTCAAATGATTATACTCGCTATTTACATAAAGTGTTAGGGAGAAAATACGACATTGTGCCGGTGTATCAGCGCAACACTAGCCTTACTAAAATGTCGACGTTTATGTCCCCTCACTAATCGTTCTGACACTTGACTTGTAACGAAAGCGCAACATTCGCTCCAATCGATTCTAACTAATAACGTCTAAAAAAAGTAAGTACATATTTAACTGCATAGTACTAGCAAACATCTGCAGTTGATCCAAAAGAGTAGGGAAAATTAATGTAGTTATTTACTTAATTCTTTATGCAATATATAGTCGGAGGTATACCTGGGCGGAACGGAGGCGGGTAATTTCCAATCCAGGTTTATTTGTCGTCGGTTCGGTTGCAAGGCTTCGCCTTCGCAAACGCTTCTTTGAGCAAATTGCGTTCCTTTCCTTTGCCTTTTAACATACCGTCTCATTGCGGTGAGCTTATACGTATTACAGGAATATTATGGGAAATTTCCAACTTGAAATGTATATTATTTTACAATATTACTTGTTCATTTTATTTAATAGGAAGGTTAATTGATATGTCTATTACTCGTAAAGGGCGGTTTTGTTCAAAGAATATTTGCCTAACATAATATTTAAATAATATGTCTTCACATACATTTTACATAATAGTATAAGTTATGAAATATGGTATTAAATGTGGGTTTCTAAGCCTAAAATCTCAGTTTAAAAATATTGTTATCTCTGTGTTGTCAAAGGTAATGACAGGGATGAAGATATGTTTTATACAAAGATCTTGAACTAAGAAATCCAAATGCAAATGAAATAATTAAATAAGAATTTTCGTATTTGCTAATGTATGATGAAGTAAAGTACGAGTACAAATGTCTAGTTGATATTTCTACTAACAAAACATCTGAAATCTTGAAATCACAACTCAATGCGTTTGAAAACGCCTAAAATACATGGGGGAATTTATTGAGCGTGGGTTTCAAAAGTCCTTTAAGTATGTAATTTGCAAAATTTCGCTCCGTTAAGGCGATTTGCGATGTAATTTGTTCAATTATTTCGCTCTCAAATAGAGCGTAATCTTTCATAGCGGAAGTATTGGAAGGTATGGAGGCGAAAAGGAAAATAAGTAGATGAAAATAAAACGCGCAAAAACGTAAAGCAGTTTTGACTTTGTAAAACATGTTTCTTACTGTAAAGGTGGACATATATTTTGAAATTAACTGGATAAATGTCATACTGAACTTTTGAACTGGCTTTAAATGTTTGTACTTGAAAGAGCTACGTCGTAGCAAGACGGTACGATTTAGGGTCGTAGCGGCTTGCTACGACTTAGGTAGGGTACGATTTAGGTAGGTAGGTACTAATCGTTTCTTAAAACAGAAAAAACATCCAATTTATCGTTATGTATCACTTAAAAAATGCACAATATACCGTTTTCTATAACGTATGTTCTTTTTTATTTTCTGTCTCATATTTTATTTTATTTTCTGCCTCAATTCTACAGTATTTTTGATATAAAATGGTATAAGAAGGTATCAAAGCGAAGGGGAAAATAATGACTTGGTATTCAAAGAAATATAACGTGTTTCTTGCTACAATATGAAATCAGAGTTTGTTATTGCCGTATTAAGTAGCAAATAATCGCGAAGTAATACTTTAAGAAGCTGAGGGCGCGTCTATTATGTAGGTGTTTCTATTGTTGCTTATTTTCATGTTACCTTACCTTGGGTAATTTTCCAACGTTATATTAAATGTTTCATATATGTGGAGGAGTATTTTTCTTATTTTCTCTTGATATTTTTATGGAATTAAAATTTAGATCTTGATGACTTAAGATATAGTGCTGTATATAGGTTTTTTAGGTAAATTGTACAGATCACATTTATACTTTGGAAATGGTGTGTTATTTGGTCATTAATATAAAAATGAAATTGAAAATCAAAAATAAATTAGTCAAAACCAGTTCAAATGGTTTCTTCTATAATCTTACTAATATTATAAATGCCAATGGTTAGATGGATGGATGGATGGATGAATGTTTGTTTAAAGGTATCTCCAAAACGGCTGAACAGATCTCGATGAAATTTAGCATACATATAGGAAGTAGTCTGGAAGAAAGCATGGGCTACTAATTATGTTTTTTTAATTCCGCACAGACCGAGTCGCGGGCGATAGCTTGTTTTTTATGTATTATTTTTACATTTAAACCTGCTAGCTTCGTTATGTTTTACGTAAGGAATGGACAATTTGTGAATATTTCTTTTATAAAGCAGGTTCTGCATAAACAGTACGGAAGAGGTTAATTTTTCTTGTCAAGTATCGTGTTTCTATCTAATTAGGGCCCGGCTGCCAGGTCACAGTCTAACAACCTCTTCTCGGGATGCCACTTACCTGCTCACTCTATTGTTCCCAGCGTTAAGAGTGCTCGCTTGTTTCAATAGTAATTTCCTCACTTTGCTACCATTATAAAAATAAACAGGACAATTTAAGATTTTTATGTCTTAAATTGTAAATTTAACGGTAATTGAGATTTGAAAGTAAAGATATTCACAATTTTACGGTGACATAGATATAGTCGATGTATACGTTTTTTTGTTAAAATCTTATTGCATGATGTTTAATATCGTAGATGCGCCGATATTTTACAGTGATATGAATTCGCGCTGTAAATCGTAGAAAGAACGCAGCGAAACGGCGACGGGGAAAAGCGACTCTGGAATTAATTTCGAATGATGAACGATGACGTTGCAATTTACAATTTTTCACGTTTATCTGTTTCACTGATACGTAATCATAGATTTTATTTTTGCGTTAGGTCATAATTAACATATGGTCAGAAACGTTAGTTTAGTATTAAAAAATAAGTTTGTTAACATTACTTCAAATATGATTCTGAGTAGAAATACGTAATTATTAAACCAATAGAAGTTAACAGGAAATTTAATGTTAAATTAAGAAAGACCACGTTTATGCAAAATTACCAAAATTAGCTTAGAAATGTATCATATAATATGTCCGCATGCATTGACTACCTTCCCGTCAAAGCTACAACAGTCGGGCCAGCCGTTCCATAGATTATTTAGAACAAACACTACCGGACAGACAGACAGAATTTTTTTTAAATTTGTCCTTTTCTTCGTCATATGTAACGCAAATCCAAATAATTGCAAATACATACTGTCCACTAGATATGTTTTTTTGGAAATTCTGTACAGCCGTACATTGATATGCTATAAAAATCTATCCCGCTATGTATCTGTTCTATCGAAAACTATTTATTCAGGTAGGCGGCATCAAAACCTTGATAGACAGAGTGGTCTAAAACATAGTGGATACGAAACTAAAATGCGAGGGATAATCCTGGCGTAAGCAAACACACGCCCGAAAAGCCTGCTGGCCGGCACACCGCGCTCGTGAACTGTGCTAACGATAAGACGATAAAACCTTTATCTTATTACGAATACTCTGCTTCCGAACACACGCTGATAGAAACCCTCTGACGACTTTTGCGATCCGATTTAACTCATTTTTATACACCCTTTTTTGATTCAGTTGCAAACAGCATCAGTGTGTGACTGAAATACGTTTAGAGTTTTATGCCTGCAAACTTCAGTTAGAATCAAAGAGATTCAAATTAAATAGTTATTGAATATAAGGAAATTTTTCCTTTAAATACTTTAGTTTTAATCGTTAGTACAGTTGAAGTTTTAAGGTTACAAAATTGTTCGACTTGTGTCCTATTGAAAACAGAAAGAGTGAAAACAGACAAAAAGATTAATTTGTATAACATTTTTTTATAGTTTAGTTATGTATAGCGATGCAATGTTACGGATAAACTATATGTTAAAAGTATCCGTTGTCGGATCGTAAAGAATGATCCGACGTCTCGTGCGACACCATTACTCCTTGTGTCGCATGAAAAATTCATATAACAGCAGTAAGATCGCGTTAAAGCTCTGAGAACGCGCGCGCACGACTCTAGGGGGCCGCGAAGAACGGCTTATGGCATTCTGGAACATCGTATACATGTCTGCTTGTGTTACTTGATAGTCTTTTTGCTTCATTTGTATGACGTCATATCTAATGTCGATTCATTCGTTATTTGCTTTAGAACATACTCCATACTATCATTTTAATATAATATTATAAATCCGAAAGTTTGGACGAATAAATGTATAGATGTTACAAAGTATCTCCAAAATTGCTTAACGGATATTGATAAAAGGCACAGATGTAAATAATCTAGAAGTACAAATAGGCTACTTATTTATTAACTTTTCTTTATTTTTTATGTTACTATATTATACCACTAGACTTAAGAACATGCGGTAGAATCCACGACCACATTTCGCCTGTCCATACTCTTAACTTTAAGGCTATTAGTATATTGATTGTGTACATTTGTTCCAGTGGATCTGCTGCAAATGCTGGAGTTTAATGTGGCAGTCTCCTTCCCGGCAGCTCCCCTGCTAACAGTCATATTGGCATTAGTCGGTAAGTCAATAGTAAATCCTTGTTAATCCGTTAAGCTCATCAAGCTTCAATTAACTCAACAATTAATTAATTAACATTCCACAAAGTGCTCAGTACTATATCTTGTTATTGTTGTGAAACATATGTAGATTCGTATTTAAAATTAATAATGGATAGTCTGTGGAGTTTGTCAGAGAGCGTCGGTGGCTCAGGTGTCAAGCACTTGACTTGCAATCTGCAGGTCGTGGTTTCGAATCCCGCCATGTACCACTGTGTTTTTCGATTTCCGATTTACATATGTACATTTATCCGACGTTCTTACCGTGAAGGAAAACATCGTGATGCAACCTGGACATATCTGATAAGAAATTCAAAGATATGTGTGAAGTCAACCAACCCGCACTTGGCCAGCGTGGTTGACTATGGCCTAATCACCCTTAACTTAGCGTAGGCTCCGAGCCCCTCGGTGGGGACGTATAGTGAGCTGATGATGATGATGATGATGATCTTTTTCTTTAATGAAATAGCGGTCACCTGCGACTTTATTTTAGAATATTAAGTCCTGTCAAAGGGGACGAACCTGTGGATTACCCGGAACAAACAAGGATTTTTTTAATTAAAAAATTTATTTTTCACTATCAGCCACGCAAACAATATGAATATTACATATACATACAGTCCGATTTTATTATATATAGATCTTGACTTCCAACCCCTTGGCGTTAAGTGGCGATTAGCCCGAAAGATGGTATGCGTTAGTTTAGTAAATGCCTACTTTTGAAGGCACCCACTTAATACTTTACTAAAATTATGTGCAATACCTTTGCTAAAATGTTACACTCGTAACATTATTGACAGAACAAGATTCAGTGTAATGCACTTCCATTATTAACAAACGTGGCTGCTACCGACATATCCTAACGTCTTTGAGCTAAGTCTGAATGCGCAACACTCAAACACGCCGAAGTGACGGAGAAGCTTCTCGCGTTAAAGTGCTCTCGTGGCTTTACAGACGCAACGACCGTGTAATGCGATACGTTATAACTTTGCTAATCTCTTGATATTTGAAATTGGTATTCGTCAATACATTTTTTTTAAGTTTAATTGAAAATCTTTATGCAATAAAAAATCTGTGATAGAGTTGCCGTTGCATACGAGACCTCTTTAGATTTTTTTACTCATTATTTTTATATTTTTAAATTTAGAATGTTATATGTTTTTTCTTCTTTTTTATAACGATAAAATGTTAGTTGTACAAATATTTCCCTCATAGTGTGGGCTAATCTTTTCTTTTCTCCTGTTTATTAATTATTTTCATTCTTTTCCCCTTTTCAAACTTTTCCCTAACAGCTCGTCCGTTTCTTGTGTCTATAGATAGTTAATCGGTTATGCTTTTTTATATTTTAACAAAATATTCATCAAACAAAATATGGTCAATAGCGTAATGGTTACGAGTGCGGATTTCCTATCACGATGTCGGGGGTTCTAATCCCGCCATTCGACTATTGTCGTAAACCATATCCTAGCACAAGCCTAGAGCTTAGTTGGAATGGTAAAAGAAATATTAGTAAATTTACAAAAAAAATCTGCTTACATTTAAAAAAAAACATTACAAGCAGAGAAAACTAAAAATGAAAAGAAACTAACATAGTAAATGTATGAACTCATATTATACTAAGAAAGGATAACAACTAAATCTATTGATTTTACCTTTGTGATGACATGATCCCTTTTTACAATAATTTCATATAGAGTAAGCTTTAAGCAGCAACATTTATCTTATGTTATATGAGGAAAACAATATTTGAACAAAATTCGATTATTTTATATGCGAAGTTATTGTATAGCAATAATATGATGTTTAGTTTCTTTACATTGTGCAAATATTACGTTGAGTGTAACTGATTCATAGATTGTGTTCCTTTTTTTGTGATTTCCTTGCAAATGTTACAAAGCAAAGATAATATAATGATGCTAAATAATAAAGTTGTTGTATAAGCATATTAAATATACTCAACGTCAAAATAAGTAGTACACCTTCAGTCATAATCAAAATTCCATTTTCTCCATATATATAAAAGCTTTCTATCCGTTGTAGTTTATTAAATATTAGTAACGCTGTTACAAAGGAAAAATAAAAAGATGATCAGAAAAAAGGCAGCTGATTAAATTTGCTATAAAACGTTTTTATTACATAACTTAAGCTTTCCAAGTTTGGGACAAAATGGAATGTTAATAGCGTTCTACTTAATTTTGGCATATAGTATATAATGCCGATGTTTCGCCTCACTTAGGGAGCTACTAACGTATCAAATGTTATTCGTCAGACTTATTTGTGGCGATACTTATTTCTATAGCGATAATTTGGCGCGTCGAGCGTCTTCATTGAAACGTTAGTAGGTCGGTCGATTCAACAAGTAAGTCGGGTGCGGCGCCTGTTGCTCGTTGGGGGATAGTGGTATGGGTAATTGGGGGAGGGGAGCCTGTTGCGCCGAGCAGACGCCGACGGCGCCCACTCTACCAAGCACTCCTTCTTGCGCTCATGTTCAACAAATACTTTCGACCCAGATAAAATTCGTTCGGTTCGATAGCACGAGCCAGTCCTTTTCTGCTCGCTAAACGTGAAAGCTTCCTGGTACACTGTCGAAGGAAGCTTTATATGGTTTTAAAATTATTATGTACTACTTTATGCTTGAGAATTACTTATAATTATGCCAAATTGTCGTTTGCAGTTTTAAGGCAGCAATTACGATTCCTTCCCTGCCAAGGGCCTCAGAGCCTACTCAAAGCTAATGGCGACTACGCCTTAGCCAACCACGCTGGTCCAGTACGGGCTGGTTGGAGTTGTTTACGTTCACCATAAGAACGTCGGTTTCTAGTAAATTTCGGTAATTTACTCATGTCTGGAAACTACTGCTTGCTACATCAATTGCTGGAGCAGTAACATCTATCTGATTATTTAAAATAAATTCTCAGTGTTTTTGAAAATCTTTACGAAAATCACTACGTAAAAAATAATTTATGTATTCGGTTATATTCCAATAATAGCATCGTAAAACCTCAAAGGGCAATTTTCGTGCAGTTTTCTCTAATTGAAAGCGTTACGTCTACAAGAAATATTTTGACAATAGTATCAAAAAAGTCAAATGAAATGATATTTTTCTGAAGTCGTAACTAATTGGAGAGATGTTTACTCATTTTCGGTACTGATAATTTCCAATTTTACCCATCGACAATTTTGTATATTTTCTATGAAGGGAGATCGGTGACGTCAATACGTAGGAGTTTATTAGAGGTTACACGTGTATTTCGCGATGTTCAAGGCGTTTGATTTTATTGCTGTTATTTTTCTCAGAGATACTCAACCTTTTTGAATTTACAAGGAGCTTATAGCATCGTTGTTATTTCTCTGAAGTGTGCGCAATTAGTCTTTATTAGTATAAAAAGTTGTTTTGCGATTAGATTTTTTTTTTAATTTTATTTTATCTGTCGCCCGCGACTCCGTCTGCGCAGAATTAAAAAAAAAAACTAGTAGTAGTAAAAGTAGCCTATGTGTTCTTCCAGATTATGTTCTACATCTGTGCCAAATTTCATCAAGTTCTGATGAGCCGTTCAGGAGATACCTTTAAACAAACATCTATCCATCCATCCATAAAAACATTCCCATTTATTATAATAGTTTGATTATGATTATAATATTAATATGTCTAGTATGGTATCAGTAGGATTATGTATATTCATTCTACTCCTACTACTACTCTACCTATGTATGTAAATACACGGAGGTAACCTGTGTAGGTAATAATGTTTAGTAATAAGTACTTGACATGCAATCAGCAGTTCCTGGGTTTGAATCACTACATGTCGATTTTAGATTTACATATACATATAATGTACACATTCATCCGACGTTTTTACGGTGAATAAAAACAATTATGATGAAATCTACAGATGTCTGCGAAGATATGTGTGAAGTTAACCCGCTCTGGGAAACCTATGTTATAGTGACCAATGCCTTAGCTAGTACGCTTCGCGACTCTCAGTAGGGACGTACAGTGAGTTGATATTGATACTTAAGTGGAGATCTTTCCCGTTAGGATTCATTAAAGCTCATTTGGTATTGATTTCATTAATTAATAGGAGGAGAGAGGATAAAACAAAAGTGAAGCGTTTTTATTTACTACTTCACATCTGAATTATTATAGTATTAAATATTATCATAGACTTTTAGATGAGAAGTACTGTGTAGAAGGTTACATAGATCTGTCTTTATCTCTTTCATATATCTGAATGGAAACTTCGTTAATAATCGTTACAATAAAAATATTTTTAGTTGATATTTGACATAGAAAATTAAAGTTTGTTGTTATGTAAACAGTTATTTATGCATGGTTTCAAACATTTGTGGTATATGTAAGTAAGTTGGCGATCAATTTGCAGCGGTAGTTTGTGACGAAGTCATCTAGTTCAGCAGTAAACTCGCAGTACAAATTGCAGTTCGCCTGACTCAATTATTGTTACGAGCCGGCTCGGAAATTCTAATCTTGAAGTTGGGCACGTGTGTGCCCGCATTGCATATCGTCTGATTAATATCGCCGGAGTCGCGACGCTTTCTACGGCTTCCGACAACTTTCCAATTCAAATTTGCGCTGTATTTTGTGTATTGCTCTCAACGTTTTCCAAACGTTTTACGTATTTTGGTTTATGAAATTTTTAGTAGCGTAATTTTTAGGTAAATAATAATGTCTAGTTAATATGCATAGGGTCGATGGAGCAAAAACATAATTGTAATAAAACATTCAACGATTTAAAATAATTTGATTTGGTAAATCTATTAATTATCTAATTAGTTTTCTATTAAAGGTCGAAGCATTTTTTTTGTTAACGGAATATTTTACAGTCAAAGTACAAAAATAGTTGACGAAAAGAGTCCAACAAAAAGAATAAAAAGCTTGATACAATTTTTATTTTAGATTCAGAATTTTAGATAAGTTTCTATCTTTTTTCTATTTTGGTAGAGG